CGTTCTCCCCTTATTGTGTGCACCCATGTCAATAAATAGTATTGAATTTATTTTTGGGTCTACAATTGCATTTTAGGGAGAACCTGTGATTTTTGGTCTTCTGAGCCTGGCTAACTTTGCTTAAGATGGTGTTCTCAACATCCATCTGTTACTTGTGAATGACAAAATTTCATTCTTCTTTGTGGCTAAGTAAAATTCCATTGTGTATAAATACCACATTTTGTTAGTCCATTCATCCACTGGGGGCATCTTGGCTGTTTCCATAGCTTGGCTGTTGTAAATAATGCTGCAATAAAGATGGGTGTGCAAGTGTCTTTGAAATAACTTGAGCCGCATTCCTTTGGGTATATCCCTAGGAGTGGGATTGCTGGATCATATGGGTCTATGTTTAGTTTTTAAAAAGCCTCTATATTGTTTTCCAAAGTGGTTGTACTAGCTTGCGTTCCCACCAGCAGTGTATGGGGTTCCTTTTTCCCCTCATCCTTGCCAACATTGTTGTTGGTGGTGTTCTTTATGCTAGTTATTCTAACAGGAGTGAGGTAGAAGCTTAGTGAGGTTTTGATTTGCATTTCCTTTATGGCTAGGGATGGTGGGTATTTTTTCATGTGTTTTTTGGCCGTTTGGACTTCTTCCTTTGAAAAAGTTCTGTTTAGTTCAGTTGCCCACTTCTTTATTGGTTTATTAATTTGGGGGGAGTTTAGTTTTTTGAGCTCCTTATATATTCTGGTTATCAGTCCTTTGTCGGATGTATAGCTAGCAAATATTTTCTCCTACTCTGTGGGTGTTCTCTTCAGTTTAGAGACCATTTCTTTTGTTGAGGAAGCTTTTAAGCTTTTTGATTCCATATAGCCCATTTGTCCAACTTTTCTCTCAGTTGCTGGGCTGCTGCAGTTCGTCTGAGGAATTCCTTGCCTACAGCTATTGTGTCCAGGGTATTCCCTGTTCTTTCATGTACTAACTGCAAGGATTTGTGTCTAATATTAAGTTCCTTCATCCATTTTGAGTTGATTCTAGTAAGTGTGATAGGCATGGATCTAGTTTCAGTTTTCTGTAGGCAGATAACCACTTTTCCCAGCAACATTTGTTGAAGAGGCTGTCTTTTCTCCATCATTTGTTTTTGGCACCTTTCAAAAATAAGTGGATAGCTGTATGGATTCATATCCAGGTCCTCTGTTACACTCTTCTTCATATCTGTTTTTGTGCCACTACCATGCTGTTCTTATTGCTATGGGTCTGTAGTATAGTTTGAAATTGGGTATTGTGATACCTGCAGCATTGGTCTTTTTGCTCAGTATTGCCTTGGCTATTAATGGTCTTTTGTGTTTCCAAATAAACTTTAGGGTAGATGTTTCGATTTCCATGATGCATGTCATTAGGATGTTGAGGGAATTGTGTTGAATGTGTAGATTGACTTTGGTAGTATAGCTATTTTTACTAGGTTGATCGTGCCAATCCATGAGCATGGGAGATCTTTCCATCTTCTATAGTCTTCCTTGATTTCTTTCTTCAGTAGTTTGTAGTTCCTTAGACAGTTTATTTACATCCTTTGTTAAGTTTATTCCTAGGTAGTTGATGTTTTTAGGCTTTTGTAAATGGAATTGTTTTCCTATATTCTTTCTCAGTTAGTTCACTGTTGGTATTAGAAAGGCTACTGATTTTTGTAAGCTTATTTTGTATCCTGCTACATTGCTGAAGGTGTTTGTGGTGTCTAGGAGTTTTGGGGTGGAGTTTTCTGGGCATTTGTAAGGTAGTTGTATATACTCTCAAAGGTTCTCCAAGTTATTAAGTTTGTTAGTTCTTGTGAAAGAGAGCACACAGTAATTAGTACCTATTAGTCTTTGCAATTGAAAGGTAGTACTCAATGTAGCATTCACATATGAAGTATTTACATTCACTGTTTTATGACTCATGTTCCTAAAAGAAGCACAAATTGCAAGTTTACCAAATCTACCTTTGTTAATTTTGAATTTTTCTTATTTTAGATTTTCATTAATTTCAAGGATATATATGTATATATACACATACGCATAGTGTTCATATATAAATAATATAGCCTCTGAAACTAAACAAATCTTTGCGCTTGTGATTTACAAAATATCTGATAACACCACCTTTGATATTCTGTATTCTATATTCTTTCATCTCACAAAATATTTTGATGTTAATTATTTCCAGAAATACTTTCTGTGACCAAAGATCAAGTTAAATTAATGTACTCCACTGGTTGAATTATTTGAAAATGTGAAAACATTTCACCAGAGTGCTTGTGATGTTAGGTCATCCCCATAACCATGGAATTAGGGATGTGGACATGAATTTGACAGGTGAGATTAACTTCATGATGTAGTTCACCGCCTTGCAGGTCAGAGACATTCAAGCTGCCTGTGCTCAGCTCCACTGCGCTGCTGTCCTGCATCTTGCTCTACAGCCATGGCTACTCAGGGCTCCTCTCGATGCTGTTTGGAGAAAATGTTTGTCACTGTGTCACCCAGGTGTCCAATACAGTAGTGTAACTGGGTGTTTTTAGTTGAAACTTGAAATTGTGGTGTTAGTAGTCACATTGGTTTTGAGGAAATCCTCAGGTTAATGTGAAGATATGAGCAACAAAATGAGAATGTTTTTGAGGAAAATTGGGTATTAGGTGAAATAATTATTAGCAGTTGGAATAACTTTTCTGATATTGCTTTTTTAGAAAATATTTCAGGAAATACACAAATCAGATTCTGCGTGATGGACCTTCAGAAGATCTGAGAAGCCAGCTTGGACATTTAAAATCAGAACTGTCATTTATACATATGCTGGCTGGCTTCAATATGAGAAATTCTTCTGGAAGACAAGGACTGCTGACCTCTGAGATTATCAAAAAGGGTGAGCATTATTTTAATCTAGAAGTTTTGAAGCTCACCTTGTTATGCCCAGGAACTTGGTTATAATAATGTTGAATTAAGATTCTGCCACATTCACTGTCATGGTGTACTTGTGCAGTGAGGCATCTTTTGAACATAATTTGCTCAGTACTTTTTTTGTGTGAATTCAGGCCTTGTGCCACCTAGGGAGGTGCTCCAACTCTTGAGCTGCAGTTCAGCCCCCAAACTCTTAAAGTCACCTGAGGTAAATATTAAAGAACAGAACAGTGTCCTTGATTACCTTCCTGGTCAAGTAAGAGTGATATGGTATTTGTGATTTTAACACACCCCAGGGCCTCATGCATGCTAGGAAGTGCTGTACCAATTGAGCCATGTTGTCAGCCTATTTTAATTTTTTTGAGACAAGGTGTACATCGTGGCCCAGGCTGGCCTCCTGCCTCAGCTGCCCAATTGCTGGCATTACAGGTGTGACCATTAACAGCATCATTAATTTATAAATCTTACAATTCATCGCTCATGAAAGCTGCCTCACTGTACTGTACTACTCCTAACTGTCATTACCTAGGGTCAATAATCGACCATCAGCTGAAGCTTTTCCCAGAAGGAAGCATCTGGTCTTAATGACTAAGTTTTATTGCCAAGGATCTAAGGTGCCCTGAGAGGTGAAGGAAGGTAATTTACTGTTGCAAGTGAATGTTAGGAACTTTGTTTGATCAAGAACAACGTTCTTTAGCAGAAATCATTTTTGGAAGTGCTTGCTGATTTTCTACTGAAATAACTCTTAGGAGAGGGAGAGTGCTCAGTGGGTCTTCAGCAGCTCACTGCAGGGTATTTTCAGTTTCTTATATAATTGAAGTGATGGAATTTAGAGACTTGAAAAGATTTGAAAGGAAGAGATGGGATTCAGAAAGTACAGCCAGGTAGGGTTTGCAGAACAACTTGAGCAGTGGAGTGCTGCCTAGCAGGTGGAAGGTCCTGAGCTCAAATACAGTCCACAAAAAAAAAAGTAAGGCTAGCCCTGTATGAAACTCTTTATCTATCTATTCATTGGTGGTACTGGGGTTTGAACTCAGAGCCTCATTTGCTAGGCAGGTGCTTCACAACTTGAAGCACACTACTTCAACAACTCTTTTTTGTGTCGTGTTGAGTACTTTTGGATAAGGTGTCATGAACTATTTGGCCAGGCTGGCTTTGAACCACAGTCCTCCTGATCTCTGTTTTGTGTGTAGCTAGGATTGCAGACATGAGCCACCAGTACTCAGTTGACAGTCTTGAGTAGTAGTCACCCACCTTGGGTGGGTCTCAGACCTCAATCCTCCTCACTGTGAGACCTCATGCAGAAGGATTACAGGTGCATACCACCATGCCTAACTTGTTGGTAGAGATGGGGGTCTTGCAACATTTTGGAGTTTGTTTGGTACTGGACTTTGAACTCAGGGCCTTGTGTTTGCACAGGCAGTCTACTACTTGACCACACCTCTAGACCAGGTCTTCTAACTTTTTGCCTGGTCTGTACTAGAATTGTGATCTCTAATCTCTGCTTCCCAAGTAGCTGGGATTTGAACAGGCATGAACCACTGTGCCTGGCCTCTGTTCTTTACTTTTATTTTTTCATGATTTCTCAGCACTGTAGAATGAGGACTGCTCTTACCTTTTTGTCAGCTCTAAAAGCATGTTATGAAGAGTAAGTGCTTTGGCTTGATAGTTGATCATTTTGAAGGACAAATCTTCCGGTGTTCATTAATTTTGATAAAAAATATACTCTCACTGTTTAAAATTTTTTTCTAAATTTTTAAGAGTATAGATCTTTAAATTAAGGAAATTCAGTGAACCCCCAAAAGAACAAACACAGCAAAAACATACAAAACTAATTGCTATCTTGTTTAGGAACAGCTAAAACATGATAAAAACAAAGAGCAATGTCCAGATTTCCCAAAATTCACAAGAGTGGTTATGTCTGGGGAGAAGAATGGCAAGGCTTCAAGTATATTAGTAAATTATTTTCTTCAAGTAATCTAAAGAGTACGTAAGTTATTTATTATTCATTAAATTGTGTGTACACATTTGTGCATGTAGTATAGAGATCACAATAAATAGAATATTAATGAAGTCCATCTTTTTTTGTGTGTGTGTGGTTCTGGGGAAGGAAACCAGAGCCTTGTACATGTTAGGCAAGTGTTCTCCCAGTGAGCTGTATCCCCAGCCTCCATTCTTCTCTGTTACTTACAAAAGAGAAGCTATTCCTAATCACACTTCTTATTCATTTAAAAAAATTCTGGGGCTGGCAGAGTGGCTCAAGTAGTAAGAGTGCTTGCTTACAAAGCATGAGGCCTTGAGTTCAAACCCCAGTGTCCAAAAAAAAAAAAATCTGTGTTCAAGTTAACAAGTACTGACATTACAATTTGGCACACTGTTTTCTTTAGAAGCAATTATCCATGCATTTTATACTTCCATAAAGAAAAGAAATGAAGCCTGGACCTTAGATAATTCAGAATATCTCTATGGGCCTGAGTTTGTTGTCTACAAAATAAAGTGTTTGCACCAGGTTATTTTAGATTCATCCAAATTCAATGTTTACTGCATTTTGACACATTTTTATGGAGAAAGCCCAAGGTCACCTAGGTTTTCTTCTATGTTATTTTCATAACATAAGTTTTACATGTGTGTCTGTGGTCCATTTTGCATTAATTTTTGTAAAAATTGTACTCAGTGTCTAGATTTACTTATTTACTACATGTGGATATCCAGCATCTTCTATGGAATAGACTGTCCTTTCTCCATTGAACTTCCTTTGCTCTCTGTCAGGAATCACTTTATAGCCAGGGGTGGTGGCTCATGTCTTAACTCAGATGCTCTGGAGGTGGAGATCAGGAGGTAGTGGTTGATGGTCAGTGGGAGCAAAAATTTAATGTGAGTTCATCTTGACAAATAAGCTGGGTGTGAAGGTGCATGTCTCTAATCCCAGCTACATAGGAGACTGTCTTAGCAGGATCACTGTCTGAGGCCAACCTGGGCAAAAAGCACCAGATCTTATGCAAAAACTAAAACAAAAAGGACTGAGGGTGTGGCCCAAGCTGTAGAGTGCCTGCCTAACAAATGTGAGTCCTGAATTCAAACTCAGTACTCCACACCCCACTGCCAATAAAGAAAATCACTTTTCTGTATTTGTGAATCTATTTCTGGACTCGATTTTGAACTTGTGATCCACCTTCTATGCTTTCACTAACACCACACTTTTTATTAGTGTAAATGGTAAGTCTCAAAATTGGGTAGTGTCAGTTCTCTGACCTCATTCTTCAGTATCATGCTGGCTGATCTGAATCTTTTGCCTTTTTTTTTTCCTGCTGTGCTGTGATTGAACTCAGAGCCTTGTGGCTGCTAGGCACACAGTCAACCTCTGAGCTATATCCACAGCTTCCTGCCTTTCTAGTCCATGTAAACTAGAGATTCTCTTTTCTCTTCTTCTATTTACTTTTTTTTAATTATAAAAAATTTTATTGCGATGTATTTGTTATATGGGGGAACCCATAGTGTTAGTTCTGATTAGGATTATATTGTACATTAGTTAGATTGCCCTGATCATCTCTCCTCCTAAAAATCACCTCACTTAAAGCATTTGCAAGAGATTTCTTTGTTCTATTTCATATAAGTATATGAAGTCCATCTAAGGTATATGCTCATTTAATCTCCTTCATTCACCCTTCCTCCTCCCACTAGTGCCCCCAGACACACACTGTACCTGTTTTATAGTCTTGTTTCATTATTAATATTTAAGTTGATTTCAAAGGGTTTCTCTGTGTTTCCCCTCTGTGAGTATTTTGTTCTGTTCAGTCCCTTCTGTTGCTCTCCCTCTTACCCTTTACCTCCCACCCCCCCTTTTAACAGCTTTCAGTACACACACTCATATCCTCTACCTTCACAGAGATGTTATGTTTTATGATATTACTGATGCTGCTGTCATTCTCTTTTCCTTTCCCTTTTCCTGAGTTTCCATGGAACAGTTCTACTATGACAAACACGTTCTACATCTGAGTTCTATATGTTTTTCTTTGGGCTATCTTCCACGTATGAGAGAAACATGGCCTTTGTGTTTCTGATCCTGGCTAACTTCACTTAACATGATGTCTTCCAATTGTATGCATTCACTTTCAAACCACACATATATCCTTCTGGCTGAGTAAAACTCCTGTGTGTATATACACATTTTCTTATGCATTCATCAGTTGCAGGATACCTGGGTTGTTCCCACAGCTTGGCTATTGGAGTCATGCTCTGATGAACATGGTGTGCACAGGTGTTTTTATTGTATCCTGTCTTATGTTCCTTTGGGCAGATGCCCAGGGGCAGTATCAGTGGATCATATGGCAGTTCTAGCTTTAGCTTTCTGAGGAATCTCCAGACTGCTTTCTGAAGTGGTTGTACTAATTTGCATTCCCACCAGCATGTTTAAGGGTTCCATTTCACCACATCCTCGCCAGCATTTGTGGTTATTATTGCCCTTGATTACAGCCATTCTAACCGGGGTGAGATGAAATGTAAGTGTTGTTGTGATTTGCATATCTGTTGTAGCCAGGGAAGTTGAACACTTCTTGTATATACTGGTCATTTGTACCTCTCCCTTTGAGAATTTCCTGTTTCATTCATGTGCCTGTTTTAAACTCTTGAGTCTGCTTGTCATTATCTACAAAGCAGCTTGCTGGGGTTTTAGTTGTGTTGCATGGGATCTATAGGTCACGTTAGGAAGAACTGACATCCCAACCACATTGAATCTTTATCTTTTCATAAAATCATGATCAGGCATTGCATTTAGCTGTCATGTTTTTTAGTCTCCTATAATCAGGTTGATCCTCCTTTTCTTTTGTACCACTGACTTTTTGAAGTTCACTTACATTACAGAATGTTCTTTTTTTTCTTTTTCCTGTCCTTCCCATTCCTCTTTCCCTTCCCTCTCTCTAAGTAGTCTAGTAGCTTTGATGTTGTGATCTTTGGCTTCAGCCTCTT